TCACCCGTGCGGCCTCGCGTCCCTTCGAAGCTCGGTTTGATTTTGCGAGGAGCGGAGACAGCTCGCTCTTGCGACCGGCTCGAGTTGGAAGCTACTCGGAGCCCTACTCAAGATTCCCAACGACCGAAGATGGGAAGTTTCGTGCAAATATTCGCGAAATTCCATTTTTTAAGTGAGGGCTGCCACGGTCAGGGAATACCGGGAAAACTGGGGAATGTCATGGAATTTTTAAAAATCAAGAAAAACTGGGAACGTCTATGAAAATAACGAAGATGCCAGGGAAAATTTGTGCAACTACCTTCATTTGTTTTTCTACAGGGTTTGGGATGGTGGTTATGGATGAGATGAAGGAGTGCCAACTCCCTCATGACTTGTGGGAGGACCGAGTTTTGTGGCGGTTAGGCGTCGTAGAGCGCCAGAGAGCGCTGTGAGAGTTAGTTAGTTATTATAATTTTGAGACATTCAGCGACTCAGGCTATTAACGTCTTTACAGGTAATTTTGAAAATAGGAGTATAAACGAAAATTTAGATTTTTAAATTAAGAGAGGTGAAGAGTTTCAGAATTTTGGTGGCAATATTAGGTTCATCGCATGTAAGAGGGTTTGTATTTCTGCGACTCTTATGTATACTATGTGTATATGTATGTATGGTTTGAGGTTTCGAGCAACGAATTTTGCCTGAAAACTGTTTTTAATTATGTCTTCTTAATCATCCGTCACATATTCAATTGTCAGGAAATTTAACCAAAATATGTCAGGAAAATCAGGGAAATGTCAGGAAATTTCATTATATAAATTCTGTGGCAGCATCTAGCTGTAAAGTTAATTTCATAAAATTTTGACATTTTTTAAAAATATTGGGGGTGCATTCAGGAGGCCAAGAAACTTCTGAAATGGTGGATCGTTCTGGATTTTGACCTATCACTATTGTCGGGATCGTCCATTCGATCTTCGCCTTCAATTTTACGTCATAGGCAACCAGAAAGCGAAAAGGTCTCTATGCTGCTGTGCTAAGGGAAAACACCGTATGAACCTTCAGGCGTTGCCAAATTTCCGTGGATAAAACACGAACTTCCTGTTAAACTTTGAATTTTTTCCTCCCAATTCTTCAGATAATTTTGTTCGCTATTTCACCTGAAGTTCCTGAGAATTTAAAGGGAAAATATTCATAACTTTCCTCTAAAATAGACATTTTATTGAAGGAAATTTGGCAACTCTCGAATGTTCCTACGGCGTTTTTCCTTAGCACGGCAGTATTAGTCGAAAAACCCACATTTTTATATATTAGCTCTAGGTTGTCCCTCCTCTACCCTTCCTCCCGGGGCGCTTAAATTGTTTTGGTACCAATTTAAAATTTCATAAATCCGATTCCCAATTTAATTTTGGATTATTTCAGCGTGTTGTGCGCAATAATTCGATGAAAATACAAGCCTTTCACATAACGCTGTTGTCACCGTGCTTAGTCGTACACTACTATAACTCGGTCAAGTGCCGCATTTTTCTCGGGATATTTAACAAATCAAGGATGCGAGCGAAGTTATCTACTCAGAGCTTTATCAGCTTTCAAGTTTCAAGACAATTCTTCCTCGTGCGTCGACCTCTCAAGTTTTGCAAATTCTATTTCGGGATTTGTTGCGTCGCAGATTTCGAGCCCAGTTATCGCACGGAATGTGCGCTCTCAATCACAATCGGAATATATATTGAATTTTTCATCCCGCAATTAGACCAGATAACTTCTTCGATGAAAAATTGAATCTGGTTCAGTGATCAACCCGAACCCGTGCAGCCAGGAAAAAATTAGGTGGAACGTTAAGGTGATTCTATGTCTTAGGTCCTCAACAACATTCATTTCCTACTGGATACCACAAATTCCTCGTGATCTGTGATCGATTTTGTTGACATTGGTTCTTAGAGCCGGATGAATTGCCCGGCACGAACGGACCAATCAGGGAGCGGCTCGTGCATGGTACTACTCTCCCTGTGCAGGTGCTTTACCTTGAACCACGACCAGTTCGCTCCTCCAACGACCCACTTTCGGACCGCAGTTTTTTACGCATTTACAATCCCCCTCCCACAAACACACCCCCCCCCCCCCACCACCATCCTCAAAGCCTACGGACTCATCTCAGTTTTCGCGACTTCGCCATATTTCGCAATAAACGCTGGAGCAGGCATAAATCGGCGACGTAAACACTATCCCACTAGTTTTACGCAGTATATATACATAAGGATATCTGCGCTTCTATTTACTTCGTTTTTACTCCCATTTTCTTCATCTTCTTCTTTTCTTATTCCCTTTCCCGTCCCTTCCTCCTTTTTTCCTTAATTTTCTCTTTTTTGTAGTCCTTTTCCGTTCTTTCTTTTCTCTATAATTTTTCTTCTTCCCATCTCTTTTCCTTCATCTTCTTCCTTTTTCCCCCCATCCTTT